CGACTTGGTCTTGTTGTTGTAGAACGCACCTAGTCCGAAGTCGTCTGCCAGAGTAGTTGTCATGACACCAAACATCAGACAGTGGACTTGGTACATTCTCAAACGTACCGCCGGCCAAGTGTATCAAGTCCACTGTCGGACGACTTTGGCAGACGACTTTGGACTAGGTGCGTTCTACAACAACAAGACCAAGTCGCGACAACGAGGTCAACCCACTTCCGTAAATATCAAGTTTGAATCAGAATTACGCATCGTTTCTGAGATCATCATGTCATAGTCTTGGTTCTCCCCCCTATCTCCTCATTTATATTACCCCATGCTTGTTCGACTTAACATGGCTTTCCTCATTTGAAGGTATCTTCTTCTATAATGCGCCATTTGTTCACTTGGTTGCTATCTTCACTCATGCATGCCTGTCTTCTGTTCGTCGGTCGTCTCTTCTGATGCTGCCTCTACAGACGATCTGCAATCCGAGCTGGTGCGTCATTATCTGATAGAAGCCATAAGTTCTCCCCCCCGAGGCGTTCGTCTCAAGGGTTTCGCCAGTGAGCCCATCTTTCCCAGCCTCGTCAGTCTCATCCACCAGCATACACATGCCCCATTGGCACTGCCCTGTCGCCTCCTCTTGCCGGAGCCTGTGGCCGGGCAGATGCCGACGCCCGGTTACCAGACTTTGCCAGCAATTGTCATGGGTCCCAGTCAGGCCAACGCGAATGTCGACGCCTTGGAGACGGACGTTGGTATGGCAGAGGCGGGAAACTTTGGCTGTCTGGAGCCGGAGATCCGGCCTCAGGCCAGGCAACGCGGACTGCCAAGCGCAGTCTCTTCAAGTGCATCCGAGACGTTCAATTACTACCATCAAATGCAACAACAACACCAACAACAATACCAAACGGGTCAGCATCACTATCAGCATCCAGTGCAGGCACACCTACAACACCAGCAGACAGAGACCGGCATGGAAGTCGCTGGCGGTGGAATGTCGGCTGGGCTCACGCCGAGGGTCACAAGCCCGATGCCGCCGGTCTCTTCGATGATCTCGCCCATGTCGCCCATCTCTCCAACTCCGGGCATGTTCCAGTCTTCTGGTCCGGGAATAAGTGAGTCAAGTATCCGAACGAGAAACAGCTTGAATGGCTCTATTTTTATGTGTGAATCTGCTCAATACAGTTGACAAGAAAAATGTGGAAAATAGTAAATGAGTGCTTTCATAGAAAAAAAAAACACATTCTTAGTCGTGAAAACTTTCCTACAGCGACAACGGAGAGGTGAATTTAAATTTTTTTTAAGATTAGTATTATAAATAATTAGAGATTATTGCTACTCGTCACTAAGCTTGTCTATCTATGGGTAATATGAATGGAGCATTTCAATTTGCTATCCTTGCAAAGTCTGAAACTGCTAGTTTGGCAACAAAATGTTTAATGCAAACAAACAGGATTGTCTCTGATTTTGTTTAAGCTGACGAAGCTGACTGATAGTTGACTTTTTCTCACAATGATCTCAACATGTTTACCATCATAGCACATTACCACGAACATACTTGAATGACAGGCCATGCAGTTTCCCACATCACATTCTGTGGTGGGATTTTCGATGAAGCAAACTTATATTTGCTATGGTAATCGACTATATTACTTATTTTTTGTTTGTAAGTAGGGTGTCGAGACTACCGGCAATTCCTATATATATGAAATATGTACACCCTATTTCATTTAAAGTAGTCTCTCAGTCCTAGTTACTAACGAAGCATGACAAATTCTTGTTTGCTTCAGCTTCATTCTCATCATAAAAGTTGCATGTATTGGTGGTCCCGAAAACCTACTTACTAAACAAGAAAGT